TCCAGAAAGAACGTCCAAAAAAAAAAAAAGGCCAGCCAAAAACAGCAACACCGTATCTCAGCGAATAGAAAGCATTAGAAAATACACAACAGGGAAAAGAAGAAGACAAACAAATATTCAAGCAAGTCCACAGGGGGAAAATTCAACACAAAAAGATCAGGCAACAGAAACCACCAAAGAAATAGAAGAACTGCTCAACGTACCAGATAAAGAATTCAGAATAATCATGATAAACAAACAAAATGAAATGAGGCAAGCCATCCAGGAGTTGAAGGAAAGGAATGAAAGAAATGGAAAAAATATGAGACAAGCAATCAGCAAACTGAAGAAAGAAAATGAGACATTAAAAAAGGAAATAGAAGAAATGCAGGCGATGAAAAGGCCACTGGAAGAGATAAAGAATGCTGGGAAAAGTTATGAACACAGAATAGATGAAATGGAAGAATGAATCAGCACCCTCGAAGACACAGAAACAAAGAGAATTGAAAAAGAAAAAGAAAGAGAAGTAAAAAGGAAAAGGAATGAAGAAACGCTTCAAGAGCTATCTCACACCATTAGGAAAGGAGATATCAGAGCTTAGGTATCCCAGAAGGCGAAGAGAAAGGGCAAGGAATAGAGAAAATATTCAGAGAGATAACAGAAGAGAACTTCCCTAATTTGAAGAAGGAAATGAAAGTAGACATCCAAGAAGCTAGACGAACCCCAAACTACAATGATGAGAAAAGAACAGAAAGACAAATCATAATAAAAATTCCAAGATTGCAAGATAAAGAAAAGATAATGAGAATGACAAGAGGGAAGAAACGAATGACCTACAAAGGGAAACCGATCCGGATGACATCATACTTCTCTGAAGAAACACTATGGACAAGAAGAGAGTGGAGGGACATTCTCAACAAACTCCAAAGCATTAAATGCCAACCAAGAATACCCTGCGAAGCTCTCATTCCTCTACGAAGAAAGAATAAGGACATTCTCAGACAAACAAACTCGAAAATTTCGTAAAGACTAAACCCCACTCCAAAAACTTCTACAAGAAGTCCTCAAACCAAATCCAACAGAAGAATGAACAAGAACAGTTCAAAACAAGAATAAAAATACAGAAGGACCAAAATGGCAAATGTAAGTGCCAGTATATCAATATTATCTCTAAATGTCAATGGCTTAAACTCATCAGTTAAAAGACACAGAGTTTCAGGATGGATTAAAAAACAGAAACCATCATTCTGCTGCCTGCAGGAAACACATCTAACTACAAAAGATAAAAACAGACTGAAAATAAAAGGATGGAAAACAATCCTACAAGCAAATGGGCCAGAAAAGAAGGCAGGAAGTGCTATACTTATATCAGATCAAATAGACTTCAAACTGAAAAAGGTTAAAAGAGATACAGAAGGCCACTACATTATGATTAAGGGG